AGGGAGGGAGATCCTCCTGATCCTCCTCCTGAAGCAACTACGTTTTGCAAAAATATCTCAGTGTTCAGCACATCAAGAGCTGAAATGTCATTGCTGCTCTCCAACACACATCCCAGCTACTTGTCAAACAGCATGAAGACTGACTCTTTGACTCCAGCCATGCTTTATACAATGTGAAATAGGTTCATCTGCAGTGACTCAAAATGGCATGTCCCAGACTATGCTCCTACTCAGGAATCGGTGCAAGAGGTGGGAAAGCAGACAGCAGAACCCATACTCCAAAATGGAAACACTTCCTGCAAGCGTTCAAGGCAAGGTTGGACAGGGCTTTGAGGAACCCGGCCTAGTGGAGGGTTTCTGTCCTTGGCAGGGAGGTTGGAACTAGATGATCTTTAAGGTCCCTTCCAACCTGAGCCATTCTAGGATTCTATGAAAATGGCTGGAGAGGTGCTCTGTGGGAAAGTCAACTGAAAGAGAGCTTCCCATTTCTGACAGTAACTCTCCTTGCAACCTGCTCTCCTCTGGCACCTGCCGGCTTACCCTCATCCTCCTTACCTGGCTCTGGCTCTTGTCAAACCTCTGCACCCACTGGTTCAACTCACTGAGTTTGCAGTGGAGAGTGAAAGAAAGTTTTCTCCTCGATTAGCTTCTTCAAGGGCTCCTGCAAGTGCCGCTGCCAGCACAGGGGTGGGGTGAGTGCTGTGGGGCTGGAAGGGAGGGCTAAGGCAGTGCAGGGGAGGAGGAAGAGGAGGAGCAAGCCTCCCCCTTGTCCGCAGCACCCAAGCCTTCTTCATGCTCCTCGGACCACACCTCTAGGAAGATGGGCCAGACAGGAACCGAGACCCCATACAGAAGGTAAATGCCATACCCCAAAGCTGAGGACTACAACAGGGAGCAAAGGAACAGTATGACCATCTTTTTTTCCCGTTTAGTGCTCTAACCCACTTAATGAGTTAAGTGTGTTAACTCATTAAAGTATATCCAAACTGCCATTCCCCACATTTTTCTCTCCCTCTCCCCTTTTTATTTTTTTTCTTTTAATCACAGAGACCTATTTACAAATTAGGGTTGATTTCAACAGTGTCAACTAACCAGAAATGACAGATTTTGTGGCAAAAACCCACTTTCTGGAGGAAAAAAGAACGTCCAACTCTGCCAGCAACTCACATACCGCAATGGGTTTTCACACCTACTAATGCTTCTACCTCCTGCCTTGGCACTCTATAGATATAGCGTTAACCCACACGGGGTTGCCCTAAATATACAGTTTTCAATCTTGTGCCTTCTCTCTTGTTTATTCCTCAAATATCCACTAGGAGGAAAAAATGAGGCATTTTTTTTCTTCCCCAGTTGTAATAATTCTAGTCCAATTCCCTCAATTTTTATTTCTACATAAATATTTGTTTAATCTTCTTAGCCCTGGAGTTTGAAGAAAATTTAGTTGCTATTTGGTTTTTCACATTTACAAATGCATTTTTAAAAAGTATTTCATCTCATTTCTTTGCCAGGATAAGCTTATTGCTAGCCAAGTGGCTAAACAGCCGCCACATAGCATTGCCATGTGGGAGATCAAATGATATGACCACAGCAGGCCCAAAATACAGCTAACAAGGGTATAGCAACCTCTTGGAGAAAATGAATCACTCTCACAGAAAATTCCCTGGGAATGATTTTTAGGACTGGCAGAGCTAGTGGCTTTGGAGAAAGTCAATCACTTCCCTTCTGTACAGTAAAGGCTGCCAAAGTTTGCCATGAGATATAATTGGGTATCCTTAACATAGCATAATACATAGAAAAAGGCATTCATCATGGTTATTCTAAGCAGTTAGAAAACCACAAACAAACATGGACAAACTATTACCATCTAAGTTATATGAAGCCAGTGATTTAAAGTAAATTCTGTTTTGCTTTTGCCTAGTGGTTGTCACCAAGCACCAGGCAGGGTATTACTATGTGACTCAGTGCTGAAAATGTCCATTTTCCTAATACTTTGTTAAATTTAGTTCATTAATCCTCATAATACTCTAGAAAGAAAAATACAGTTAGTTAATGTTTAAAAACGGCAGGTGACAGCAGAAATATTTAGGTTTTTAACTCCAGGTATGTACCTTGAGCCAAACTGTGCTTGATTTTTGAAAGATGTTCCCCTTCACTGGCATTAACTGACTTTCAAAGGCACTGCCTTGAAAGAACAGGCTCAACACGGACAAGCAAATGTCAGAAATTATTTCTGAAAACTGTGGTCTTAAGGGTGACTCACTCAACTCTACCAAAGAAGACAGAACAGTATTAAACACTGGATATGAATTTAGGAGTCTCTGGCCTCCAGATCCCTGCTTGGATCATTAAACACACCCTCTTCTTATCGAAAATCTTATTAAATTCCTGAGTCAGTAACAGGACACAGAACAGTTAAACCCTTTATGATTATTTATTAACTCAAAGTAATGCCATTTTCTTCTGTTTCTATTTGAACCCGATCAGGTGATCAGACACTAAGCACTGAATTCAATAAACATGAAAGTCCTTCTCACGAAGCTTAATTTAGAACTATTTGTTTCCTTTCAGAATAAATCTTCCTTAGTTGCTTTTAAGCAGAAAAGCAAATACACTATGTCCCTTTATCCACTAGTGCTTAGAGTATAATACATACTCCAGTAATTTCCTATTATAATGGAATATTTGCACAGGTTGCAAATTTATCCCAGAGGAATGAAGAATCTAGTGAATGGACACATACATTTATTATACGGAATACTCCAGGTAATGCTAGCCTATGATATCAAGCCAACAAGCTGAATGATAGCCCTGGTATAATTATGTAATTAATTAGCTCTATCATAATTTTTGGTTTATGACACTAACTTTTATGTGCCACTAGTCAATTTAATGGCATTTTAAATTGAAACAAGGCCCCTGAGAGAGATGCTACTTACTATATCACAGACCTTGTATTCGGATTTCTTTTAATTTCAAAAGATGACCTAATAAAATTGCTTTATAATTAAATCCATTCTAACAACTTCTCCTATGTGATTCTTTTTCTTCTCCAATTTTTAATTATGAAAAAAATTCCAATCAGAAAACATTTGTCACCATAATTATATACAAAAATCAGGATCCCTTTTTGTACCTCTTGCTGCTCTCCTCACACGGCAGTGCACACTGACTAGCCTTCCTGCAGAATTTTACTAGCATCCCCCAGAGGTGCAGCAAGGAAACTGCACCTTTTATACTCAAGATTAACTGGAGTTAAATTTGCTTCTATCTTGTTCGAAAAATAATCAAGACGTGGGAAGGAAGGGCAGCAAATCCCCACATATTTTCTACTTCAGACAGGCGTTTGCAAGTATTCTGGTATCACAAGATGAGTTTCTCATGTGAAGTAAGAGTAGCTAGGAAGGGAAGGGAAGGGTGACCACAGCTCTCCTGCTCAGCACAGCAGTGCCCCTCTGTGTACCACCATCTATTTCCACCTGAAATGGCAATCCAGCAGCGAGCACGAACACCTTCTTGGAAGCTGAGGGGGGCCATGTGCCATCAAGGAGAAGTCCTTACCACATAGGCTTTTGGCACGTTTTCTGCATGGTGCTCCTCATATGGAAACTCATCAAGATGTAACCCTGACACAGCATTTTCAGGATATGACCACCATTCAGTGCTTAACACAGTGATATTACATTAAATAAGAAATATAAGCAGGTAGTTGCAAAACAATTCCTATGAAAATTGTTTTCGTAGGCTTTCTTCTACACAGTGAACAGCTGTGTCCAGTGGGAACACAATGATAGCATTGGGTGGGAGCAGAGCTAAACGACTCCTTTCCGAGGCGATGATGATTATTGCATTTGATCATTATAAAGTACCACTGAATACATGTGGTACTTTACCATATGTAAAGCATGGTAACCACAGAACAATACTTCGGCCTCATAAAGTCATTGCATCATTTCAAACACCAGTGCCTGGGAAATAGATGTACTGGGGGTACCCAAAATGACACAGAACAGTTAAAAGAACACTTGATAATACTGGATGTGCAGCTAAACAGATTAAAAGAATATAATTTCCATGCAGAAATAATCATATGCTCTTCCATTTCTACTTTCTAGAAAACAATATAACAACAGACAGATATGGAGCATAAATGGAACTGAAACAATTTGTACTTGGGTTTCTTACCCAAGAGTGAAGTGAAATTAAGGGGATTATTGTCAACTTCTTACCATTTGCTGTGTTCTTTTTGAAGTTATCTAGAAACTCTTCCAGGAGCTGTGACTGGTTTGGAGGGGGCAACAAACTCTTTGGATCCCTGGAAATGTCACCATCAGACCAGGATGCACACAAGGGTTGCTGAGTCCCATACTGGTTCATTCTCAGAGTGAGCATTACACTTCTTTCTGAAAACAGTAACTCCATCTGCCTGAGGTCAAGATCAGACACTGCCTCTCCATTTACGCTCAGGATTTCATTGCCTACTCGGAGCCCTGGGAGCATATGAAAGGAAAGATGGACAAAGAGAAAAAAAAAAAAAAAGAATAGGGAATGTAGTTGCAAAGGGTCACAAAACAAAGCTTACGCTGATTCACCTTCTATTTTTGTGTTTTAATTCAAACAGCCTAATCCTGCAAGAAATCCATCAGAATTGATGGGAGCTTTATTTGTGCTGTAAATACACAGACAGACCTCATGCTTACTTTGATAGGTGTTACAGTAAAGCAATCGAGTTGTTTCTTTCAAAAGATGCTGCAGAATTTGGCAGATGGGAGGGCAGCACAACTTTTCAAGACTAGCATAAAGGCACCTCTCCTGAATCAGATACCACCAGTGTACAGCACCATAACACCTAGTTCATTATGTGGGAAGAGCAAGGCATTAGTCACACAGACCAAATCATTCATGCAAAACTGGAACAACAGTGGATGGAGCTTTATCAGCTTTTTTATAAATCTAAACAGTGGCAACTGCTGCCTTTCAAGGTCAGCAATAGCCAAGCGGTCATTACCCTCAGGCAGCAAATGGAACTCACTGCTGCCATTTTTCTGGGTTTGTCTCTTTGCTTTTTGGAGAGCAGAACTCGTGTGATCCTGCCATGCCAATGAAGAGAAGCACAGTTTTTAAGCAGTGCAGTAAAGGCGGCACTCACAGAAACATATGCAGAAAACTATTTTGGGAAGGGAGGCTACTTTTCATTGCCAGCAAAAGTGGAAATGATGGGTCTTGGAGACTGACCAAGCCCACGAGGTTCCCCAGTGTGAGATGAACTCCTTTGAGCAAAAGCACTTGGTCAGATGGCTGAACAAAGATTTTGTTTCCAAGGGTGAACAAGAACTCTCCCCGCTATATTCAAAGGATTTCAGTTACTCTTTGTACTTTATCTTTCCTAATATCACATACTTTCCATGGTCTTCAGGAAAGAATACCAGGAATAACAAAAGACAACAACCATTCCAGACAGCAGCACCAAAGCTCCTTCATGATTTGGGGCTTTAAAAAGATAATGAAGTACAGTTTTAAACATAAATATGATACAATACCTTCCTTGTATGCCAGTCCATCAGGGAGAACATCACTTACAAGTATATGGGTGAGATGCTGACTTTCGTCAACTTGTGCTGTGACAGCAAAGCCTGAAGCAAAAGAGGTTTAAGCAAAATAAACTCCCTTGGGAACATTTCTCCTTTATTTTGTGCCTTTAGTAGACTCGACACAACAAGAGGGAGAATACTTCTCCTGAGAACACACCCACAGAGCAAAGAGAAATTATCACATTGTTTCTCAGTCATTGTAATGTTAAGTTAAAGTTAATAGAACTTTTCAACTTCCAGGAAAAGCCATGCTGTGCTGTAAAAAAACAAATTACATTTCAAAAACAAAAATTTTCTACCTCAGCCCCATATGACTTTTCAATAACACAGCTCATTGTTATGGTAAAAGTTCTGTAGTACATCCATCAGACATAGAGGTGTCTCAAAGAGATCCAAAACCTGGAAACCCAAACTGTAAAGCAGAAAATCCATATGGACCATGAGTGAGACAGCCCAGAAAGGAAAAATTTCCACTTGCAGCTAAAGAATAGCACAGAGCTGCCTTACGAAAGTATCTTTGCAAGGTGTGTAATTATTCCTAGGCATAACTTCCTCCCACAGATAAAAAGCCTGTCAGAATTTTTACCAAAAGACACACTTGATAGTGTGCCAGCAGAGGATCCCACTACAAGAAAGGGCAGGCCTTGACCAATTGTATTAATCCTGGCAAAGGACATTTGTCTTGTGATAATTCCATCCTTCATTTATTTTGCCAGCACAGCAAAATATGTTTATGTTCCCTTCTGGAACATAAAAAATTTGCTTGCCAGTGTAAAACAACCATTTTGTGTTTTTGTTATAATGCCTCAACTCTTTCACATACTCAGACTTTGAGCTATCAAGGATGGCTCTACCTGTGCTCAGATACAGAAAAGTCCTGAAGAAAGAAAGTAGGCAATGAGAAGAACAAAAAGAAAAGTTCCTGGGAGCTTACCAAAATCACTTATATTTTCAGTCTTTGTAAGATGAATGTGATAAACATTTAACGGACAAATTTCTATTTCATCATACACCTGTTGGAAAAAGACAACAGTATTCATCAAATTACAAAACTGCAAGCATCAAAACCCAAATGTACAACATGAGAAACAAGCGTAATATTCTTTGTATCAACAAAAAGCCAAACCTTGCTGGTTTTGCATATAGAACTTGCATTACTGTGCAAGTATCACTGGTATCAGTGGGTCTAAATGCACAGTAAGCTAAAGACAGAAAACCCAGCTTGCGGTAGAGACTGACACTTTGCTTTTCCACCAGAAACTCCACTTAAATCTTCAAATGCTTCTTGAAAAGAGTTTTTGCAGTGCCTCGCCACTCGTAAGTCTGCACACACATGGAGTGTGTGAATGAAGATGGTGGAATGCAATCCAGGAATAGCTTTAAGCCCTTCATTTAGATCTAAATCACACACATTCCTAGGTGATAATTCAACCACAGTTACAGACATCATGAAGCTTTATCTAAAAGGAGACACACTTTCCTGGTCTACTATGTATTCATATGGTTCAGGAGCACAATACTCAGTATTTTCATCAATCAGTCTTCTGAGTTGTAGGCCATAATGTCTTGGCTCCAGCTGTTTCATCTAAGGAATAAAGAGAATGGGGTTTGGAATTTGTCAGTTATTTATTTCCAGAGTCCACAAAGAAGTGACACACACACACAAAAAAACGCCCTCTATAAATCACACAAAAGAAATCCTCAACAAGTCATTTTCTAACTATATTTGTGGTATAAACAAAACTAGCTACATTGCTAGAAGATAAGGTTCAAGTGTAATTTCCATTTTCCCTATGATCCTCCCAAATCTTTTCATAAACACTATATCTTGGCTGTTAGATTAAGTGAACACTGCTGTATGTTTCCAAAGATATCAGAACTGTTTTCTGTCCTTTTGAACTTGCACTCACAACCATCTTTTTCTGTGACTATATTTAATGACTCAATTTTGCTCAGCAACTTTTTCTTCTGATACAGAAAATATATATGCATGTATGGTCTACTAGGAGAGGGGACGGAATGGAAAGAAGGTTCCCTAAGGGTTTGCCTTTATTGGATTTTATTTTTATTGCTGGTTTTAATCTATGATCAGAGAGTTTCACGTATTTTTTTTCACCACGTGAGGTCAAAGCAAAAATCCTGTCTTAACAGGAAGTCAAAGGGAAACAGGAATATTCCCAAAGGATATTAGCCTGAAAGTTCCGAGCCCCTGATGGGAGTCTCTCTGAAAATCAGGATGCTGGTGAGACCACTGCACAAAAGCATTTCATTTTAGCATATTAATAGAGCAACATTTCTAAAACAGGAGGAAGCAACATTTCTAAAAGAGGAAGAATGACTGCATCCCTGAGGGTTATTTAACCTCTTTAACACATCTCTGCAGCTTACAAAATCTAAATCTACTGAGTAACTAGTAATTACTTTAACATTTTATTATGTGTAACAGTTTACGAGTTGTATATGTTCTGTATCCTTAACAACTGTATTCAAATGCACATTTTTTCTATACGTGCCATCCAAAAGCCTTGGATGGAAACAAGAAATGAGAAAAGTATAAACTCCATAAAGCATGACTGAAGAGGGAAAAAAGCCCAACAACCCCTTTGAACTTTATCCTTATACACATAACATTCAAATATGTTCTGTTAAGAAGAAAGATTCCTTACACTCACCAGAGCAGAATGAAAATGTAAGAAGGAAAAGAACCAGGACAGATGAGCAGAAAGTATTCAGCATTAGAGAATGCTTATGAAAAGCTTTACACAAAAAATAGAAAGAACAAATAAACCAAAAAAAGTTTAAGAAAAAAAAATCAAATAATTTAAAACTAAATTTTCATGCAATACAGACAATGGAAATTAAAAGTCAGATTTACAGTTACAACTATTCTGGAATGGTGCAGTAAGAGAGGTAAGGAATTTCCTTTTCAACCTAATTTTAAGTTTATAAATTTTATTTCCTCTTTCAGGGGTCTTGCGTATCACCGTAACTACTTCCAAATGCTTCAGCTCTACCGTGCCATCTCGTGGTCAAATAATGTCTCAGACAACTACTTTAGTAAATGTTTAAAAAGTAAAGCCAGGCATTAAACTGTTTCTCCAGGATTCAGTTTCCACCAGCAAAAGCAACAAGAAGATAATTTCTTCTCAGTGATGGCAGGGAGATGCATTGCCAACTTGGCTAAATCAGTGTGCTGGTTTTGATTTAGAAAAACATAGTTCACCCTGGATTTTTAAAAACTTGTATAAATTTTTGTTTGTTTACAACATTACCAGCTGCAAAGAGCCAGTAAATTTGAGTCTTCTAATAGAGGAAAGGACCCAAAGTCATTAACTTCAAGCCAGTTGAATGATCTCACCTGAAGGTTCACGCTAACTGATGCCAAAAGCTACAGCTGGATTTTGTACAGGACTCCTTTTTTCCTGTTTTTCCCCTCTACTCGTGAAGTAAATAAACTGTATTTACCAGTTGTCAGAAAACTGAACGTGGGAGTAAGAAGTTAGTTTTTCCAAAAAGCTTTTTTGCATGATTTGTTAGAGCTAAATTCAAGCCCTGACACGTGAGGAGACAAGGGTGCACATGGGTATGTTTTAGAGGTGATGGTCTTTTGTCTGTAGTTAAAATCAGTATTTCTACTTCACCTTCAACCTGTGACTCAGTTTTCTGTCCCAAGATCTACAGCAATCCCTCTCAAATTGCTGGCACTGACTTTCAGAAGGGAATGCACTCTTTGACATTCATGAGTAGAGCTGGCATTTAATTAAAAGCTTAAAAGGGTTCTTTAAGAAGCAAACACATATGATAGCCTTTGTCACAGCAGTCTTAAATGTCTAATCTCCTGGCAATAACTCAACCAATCCCCGTTACTCCTCTGTGATTAATTTGTACAGAGCAATTGGGTTCACTGCAATGACAACATAGAGTGGACATGTGCTGACTACCTGGCAAACCATCACTGCTCTTTAAGTATTCACTGTGTGCTGTCTCAAGCAATGCTTCTTGAAAACCTTTCCATAGCCCTGCTACTTTGGCTACAATACATAAATGACACAACTAAAGGAAACAGAAGAATGTCCCTCACTATAGTGAGAGAGAAATGCTGGTATTACGCTTTCACTATTTAGGCATCCTCTGATATATTACATTCCTTCTCAAGTCCACAGCTATTAACAAAGTGCAATCGTACACAAAAAAAAAATTAGTACCTTGCATGCCAAAGACAAAACATCTTCCACCCTGTGCTCTGGCTTGAGAGTCAGTGCCACTCCTTGGCCATCACAGAAGTGAACATACGTCTGTGTTTCCCAAGCACTCTCCTTCTGGATGCTCTCTGGCACTGAGCAGTAGACATTCAAAAAGTCATCGACTTGCTGCTGAGAACAAGGGAGAAATGTACAACATATGTGAATGTTGAAATAAAAACAACCCAAAAGTACACTTACATTGGCAGTTTGCAGTGGATATGTATTTAGATGGTACTTTGTGTTTCCCCATGGCAAGACAGGGTCAAAGTTCTATTACGTGCTCTCATTCACTCTCAAAGACTTGATTTTCTTGAGAACAGATTTCACTCTGCATTCCCATTACAGCCTCTTATAACTTTATGAATTGTTGATTTGACTCAAAGTGAAAATATGTAGCTACCTGATATTATATCACAGTGGGAATAAAATTTTAAGGAGAACTGACTACTACAATTTTACCTCATCAACAAATGTAAAGGAGAAGCAAAATTAGTTGACAGAAAACGAGAATATAGTATATTTCCAGCAGAGAGCACTGTGGAGCAAGGCTTGCCATAACATGATGAAGGACTAAAGCAGGAACAAAGTGTTCCTACTCAGTTTAAGAACATATTATTTCATAGGGAGCACAGGGTATTTGCTTGTTTACCATTCTGCTTCACAGTCATCCTCGTTCCAAAGACACTCCACTTGGTCAAATAACAACATCCACCCTAAATACCCAGTTGCTTTCTCACCCTTCATTTTCACACTTCCTCCTGTACTGCACTTCAGGCTACATGTTTCAGAGGAAGCCACCGCACATGGAGAAGAAAAACACTGAAAGCTGTTCAGAACTTGTAGTTTCACCTTTATATTTGAGTCCGCCTGTTCTGCAGATCACTTAAATACCCACATCAAGGCATTTAAGTTTAGGGAGATACGGTCCCTCAATTCCCAGGCAATGGAAAGGGGCAATAACTCCATAAAGAGGCAGAACTGCCATCCAAGACATGCCGTCAGATGTCTCAGTAGCACCTACCTCCCTAATGCTTTTTCTTTTTATGTGTGTGTGACTGTTTGTTTGGTTTGGTATGGTGAAGTAAGGGGGCTGTGCCTACATAAAGCCCCTTGATTATGCAGTTCTTCCTCCTGGCTCTGCAGGAAGACAAGCACAGGGTGCACTGCAATTAAAGCTGTAGTAAAATCACTACACAGGGACTGCTTCCCTTGCTACAGGCTGCCAAGTTATTGGCAGCAATCTACGAATAGCAACGGAGAGATCTGTATTATTCTGTTTTTCAAATAACAACCATGGCTATGAAAATGATGTAGTAAGCAGTTCTATCCAGATAATTACCAAACAATGCAGAAATTCAGGTTTCAGCCAATCCAGAGTATGGCATATTAATAATCTGATGCCAAAGTAACGCTAGTTTTGGTGGAATAGTATTAACAAACTATTGGCATTCACGTATCTTCTATCTCTTGCTCAACTGTTCCTTTTAGTTAGCTGAAAATGAAATTTCAATTAACATGGGCCCATGAAATTCTACTAAAATTCAGCAACTACTACACATAACAGCAATCCTGTTATGCTACTGCAATTAATGGAGCGATTAAATCTACACCAGGTTAAGTTTCACCTTGGCAACTGTGGTTCCAGACTGCTCATAAAGCATAACACACCAGTTTTGTTGAGAAGGTAATTCCCACAGAAGCATGGTCCTCTCAGCACTAAATCAAGTACCTGGGACTAAATGCTCACCTCCTTCCACAATGTAAGTAACAGAAAGGAGAAAGGGCAAGGCAGGCAGGCTGCGAGAGTTTAGCAAGAATGAGTCAGACTGAATTCTCCAGTGGCTTCCTCTAGGGAAAACCAAAGCTAAGTTGCCTTAGCGAGGCCAATGCTCCCAGCAATGCAGAGGTTTGCAACTACCACAATGGTTAATTGCACTGCAACAGCAATTCTTCAAATCTGTGCAACTGAAATACTATTGTCAGACATGTAAAAAAAACCAAAAAACCAAAATAAAACAAACCCAAACTCCAAAACACTGAGGATTAAGGTGATGAGAAATAGGTTTTTAAGGCTACCTTTTGATTCAGAAGCTTTTCAGACAGGACAAAGTTCTGCAGCCAGTGTGAGATACTTCCCTTTCCTTGCCATGTACATTGGTGCTCAAGCATATGCCTCGAGATAAACTCACCTCTGTTATTAAACATGACTATGTCCCTTAACTGCAGTCAAGGTACTGTTGCTTCACCCACATTATTTTCCATCTCAGAAAATCTGACATGAAAAGAGATTTTTTTTTCCTGTTATGCCTGCAGTGACTAATTCTACAATACTTCATTCATTCATTGCCACATAAAGTTATAACAACCCATCCAGTTTTCCAGAAACATGAGCCAGGATTTGCAGACTGTCACATGTTGTGCCACAGGGCAGCTGCAGGACCAATAGGTTACTTCATAATTTCCTCCCACTATTTGTCTCTGGTTTTATCATCCTTTTCAGGGAAAATACAGCCTCCACGGCAGAATTCACTATTTGTCACTCTCCGCACTCCTCAGGTAACGTTTTATTAATGTTTTGATGCTCGTTTTGTTTTTCTTTTGAAATCAGCCAGTGAAACCAGGTTGATGCCAAGGTAACAGTTTTCAGAGTTATGATGAATCATTTCTGAGTTTTCATATGAATCATCAAATGTCAGGATCTTACAAATGGCCATGCTATATTTAATTGCCATTTAAAGGAAAAAAAAAAGGTTTTAGAAATAAGGTTGAAATAGTAATAACAGTTTTTCTAGACATAAGGTTGAGCACCAGAGCTCTGCTTCAGCACCTAAATCGATGTGGGGTTTAAGTTTTGAAACACAGCCCTGCTAAACTTTGTAAAAGCCTGGCCCAAAATCTGCAGTGACACTGTCCCCCCACCAGTCTCTGCTTGGGGAGTAGGCCTATGAGCCCCTGCCTGAATTTGGAGAAGCTGCTTTTATCCAAAGCTGGGTCAAGAAGTCGGACCTCATCCATTCCTGACATGGCACCAAAGGGAGAGGACTTCATTCTGCCTCTCTGTGACATCTTTCTCTGTCTCCTCAGTAGAAGTCAGGAAAAGCCAATATTCTTGTTAGGCCAGAAGACCAGAGACCCACAGCAGACCCCACTGCACAAGACAGCACCATCGACCTCCCAGCCCCAAGAGGTTCAGTGCTGAATCAAGGGACTGGCCTCACAGCCCTTTGGGAAAAACCATCAGGGGGTGCACCCAAGACATTTTGCCTCTTCTCAGTTTTAGAAGGGACCAAAGCTGTCCATGTTTTAACAGGATTGGGCGGGAATGAATTGAGCGTGCTCTCTCTGCGGTGGGAAACGGATGCCATCTCACACCACACCCAGTGGTACATTCTGGAGGAATTTGTAAGTGTTCTCCACAGGAGATCACTTCACCCAGAAATCCCTCATAATTATAATTTGTTCTGGAGAGAGAGAAGTGATTTCATTTAAATACTTTCCTGCCCCAAGAAAAAAAACCCAATCAAGTGGTCAAGTAACTGAGGGATTTCAGGTGTTTCAATATACTTCTTCAAAGAGCACACAAAACATGAAGATACTTTTTGGATAGAGAACAGCATTATAGGATTAGCTGCTCTCAGTGGGAGATGCCTCTCTCAGTGGTGTAACTTCTGCATAATTATATATTTCATTCTTACCTAGCCATTAAATGAATATGCTTGATGAGAAAATAAACCATGTAGCACATAATGATCCAAAAAACCAGCCTAAAAATGTATAAGAAATTATGAATTTTGTCCAAAACTTCCTCATGAGATCCATTACAGCTTTTCATTATAGTTAATAATTTTCAAGAGTAATATTTCATTTTTAAATGCAGGCTTTGACTTTTTGTCTAATACCTGGCACACAAACTCAGCTGAAAGGGAACAGTAGTGTGGGATGATTTTTTAAAGTCTTCTTTCAAGTCTTAAACTGTATTGGAGGAATACCTGGTTAAGGGCACAAAGGAGGAAAAGAGACAGTGGGTAGATGGGATAACAAATACCCCTTTGAGTATTTGTTGCCATTAAAGAAATCTACCTATAGCATACAGAAAAAAAAGTTTAGAAACCCTGTGCCTAACACTTAATTTGTATTTGTCACTTGGAGCCTGCACAAGCCTACTGCGGGAGAAGGATTCTGTCTGTGTAAGCCCCGCAGTATACAGACAACAGTCAGTGGTCCTAAATGTATGCAGTTACGGATTTTGGAGCATCCTGCTTTGCTTCCAGACTGGGGGACAGCGATGTTATCCCCAGGGAGGCTGGGGGAGCTTGAGAGGGACTGTGACTCACACCAGGCAGGGATGAGCAGCAGCTCTCTTCCTCTGGGTCCTGGAGAACATCAGCCACAGCTATTTACTTGGGTAATGCTTTTGAGGGGATACCACTTCCTCTTCCTTCGCTTGGGCAGTCTCCAGCCATACATTAACTCACATTTCTCTGCTGGTAGTCTTCACAGACTTTAATTAGACTTTATACCCAAAATACACAGGATCTGTTGAAGCAGGCAATAGGGAATAATACACCTTCGGTTTCACCATACTGTGAAGGATGCTTTTAAACAAGCTCAGTTCCAAATGTCTCTCGGACAGTGTACACTTTGTAAGGATTAGTGCTGTGAAGAAGCTTCCAGGAATTTTTAAAAATTATTATTATTTTAAAAAAGACTACCATGCATGTTCAGAAACTTATGCTGAAATGGTTCAATTAGCATAGTTATAATCCTGCCGTCTAACACTAACTGTGTTCTACGAACCTCTGTGAGATTTCTGAACCAGCCTCGTCATACAATTAGTGATTTACATTTAGGAATTTAAAACCAAGTTGGTGCAGAATGAGGACAGGCATATATTACCTCAGCAGAGTTGGATGAATCCTGGACACCAGCAAATCCATGTCCTCCAGCTGAATCAAAAATCTATTAAAAATATTACAGATTAATAAATAGGTTTCCTGTGTTAAGAAAATTCTTTGCAAAAATAAAAAGGAAAACTAAATTAATAAATATCAACTTGCTAAACCCCAGATATCTTCTTATACTTTTTCTCACTTTATGCTGACTAGTATTAAAGAAATACAAATCTTCCTCTATAAAGAAAATTTAAGCAAGTGTTCTCTTTCAGGATCCATGCACACTCACATTCAAATATGTATAAAAGCATTAGTGTCCTTGTTTTTTTCCTACCTACTGTTCAGCAATAAGACTGAAGTCATTTATGTTCAAATCATGTACTATGCTGCAAGTAACAGTTTCACCCTCAGGGATCCTGTCAGGTACAGCTACGAATCCCATAATGATATAAAGGAACTATTTCAAATAATTGTTGCTTTTTTTCTAAAACTTCTTACCCTATAGTTTTTCATCTTTTCAAACCAAGCATTTAGCTTGACAGTATTGATGGAAACTTTTAGCTTAGCTTTAAAGGCATACTTGACCCAAAACCTGTGCTATTAAGTAATAAAAATAGCTGACTACCATGTCTGCTTTGGAAGTGCTGAAAGCAGAAACTGAGACTTACATTCCCCATCTGTTTTGAAAGTTAACTACTTATATCTCCCAAAGGTGTTAGGCTTATTAATGACATTTTAAAAGAGCCAATAAATAGCTATGGATACAATCCGGTATTTTGGTGATAAAGGTTGTATAAACACATGTATAGATTCATACAGTTTATACATGATGTTGAGATGTGCAGGTAAAAACACTACCCTCCTCCTCAGTCAATGTATCAGGACAATATCAAACTTACATATGAGCTTTTCCTTTTCTTTTTTTTTCCCTTGCACTAGCAAAAGCCCTTTGGATAATCCAAGACAACAACAAACTCCCTTAAAACTTCATATGAAATCCAGTTTCTGCCAATGCAAATAAAGGGCACCACTTCTGAACTTCCTCTTTCTTGTCTCACCCACAGACATAAAGTATTTTATTGTTTATTATTTCTCAAAACAATTTAGCATTTAGATACAAGAAAGCAGATAAGCATTTAAGAAACTGAGGATAATGTGAGCCTAGACATCCCCCATCTGCTACAGTGCACTTTTATTAACTGATTTGTAAAAGACTCATTAATGTTTACAAAAGCCTCCCAGCATAGACTCTCTGGACCTTTTTTTATTAATACCATAAAATTAAACTTAAGATAAAATTGAAAACTTCTCTGACACAATAATAATCAAGAATATACCATCTAATTTTGAAGCTAGGGTATGGCAGATTAAAACATACCAGCTCCCATCAAATGGAATTTAATTAAATCCAAGAAAGCAGGACATTTTTAACCTATTGTTTGACACAGACATCAGAGCACAATGAGCAGAGAAGCAAACTCCGCTTCTCTACTTAACCGAGTTTCCCAGTGGGCTGAAAGAGACAACAAGAAAGGCAGCATCAGGCCTGTTCTGATTTTGTTATACAATTACGTGCAAACGCACAAGTCAAAGCAAGGATGTCCCTTTTCAGCCACCTTCTTAGTTTTATGGGTCAGTTTTTGAGAAATGCCCTTACAAATTCCTTATTTTTATGAGTATGAGTCATAGCCTGGAGTTACTCATATGCAACACTCAGCATTTACATTTCCTTAATTTTACTGTAGGATGTTTAATAAAAATAAGATTAAAAAAAGTGAGGAACTCAGCTCATGAATTAAAGTGAACACACTTTTGGGCCAGCTGTTTGCAAGGTTTGGAATAAGGAGGGTGAGGACATGCCAAGGACACCTTCACCTGCGCCACAGCTCCCTCCTCCACGCTTGGAAAAGTGCTGGGAAGGCAGCAGGAGCCTCCCCTCCTTGCCATGGATATAAGATTCCCCATCCCCAAGCTCTGCAAAATCCCCTTCACGGCCTATAAAGCATACGGGAAGATGTATTACCCAGTTAAGACAGTGTGAGATATCAGCCCTGCTGGGAACATTGCTAACGGGCATAACATTCCTTTGCTCAGAGCTCTTACTAGAGAAATAAAGGTGCAGGACTTGCAGACCAGCCTCACCTACTGGGGAACATAGGGGAAATTATGTAAAAAGTATGACCTAGAGAAAATTTCTCCTTCGATTCCTTCTTTCATAAGACAGACTTGAGTTCTGTCACTCAATTTCACCATGTAAACACATCTTGATCAATATGCGAAGATGTGTAACAGTCACCCAAAGAAGCTTAATTCCAGTGTAACATATAGATAAATATTTACCTATTAAAAATAGAAACCACTAGACCAGAAAATCCTGACATGTTATTTCACAACATCAAATCTGTTGCATCAGCTCTGGGACCGCTGCAGTACATGTACAGATAGACTTGTTTAAATATTCCACAAGCAGATTACCAGACATGCAAGAACAGCCAATTTTCAAGTGCTGATCATAGATTTTTTGACTAATAAAAATCAGAATACAAGGGCCAGGGAACAATAGGAGCATAGTCAACTAATGAACGATGCACAAGATACAGCTTTGCAGGAGAAACAGCAGATATGGCAGAGGCTAATGAAAATAGCAATGTCCTGAGTGTGAGTGCACCTCTATACATTCTGCCTCCCCATCAAAGAATTGTCTCTGCTGTAATTTACCTTTTCTTTTTCCACGAAGGCAGCAGCAAACTTTTGTTTCACATTTAACTGAGGTTTTATTGAGAAAATGCAGACTCCTGAAGTGCAGGGTTTACATGCATGCATGGGGTATTAATTTCACAGGTAGAAAGAAACCATGTGAGGGGCTGCCATTTCATTAGCAACACAGCCGTTCAGTGAGGGCATACATGAGCCCAGCCCCTCGCCATGGGCCCAGCCTGACCTAGCACATCAAACCTGCACCAAGCCTTCATCTGGCATAAAATGGCAAGGCTTTTAATGCCTTTCAGCTGACTACACTTACAGCTGGCCTTCTGCATGACAGCAGTCCACTCTTGTTGGCTAAAATGTTTCTCCAATCAGCATGTGTTGAGAGGCCATCCTGAAGACTGATAACTTTGCAGCCATCTCTTTGCTTTCTTCCTTGAAGACTTACCTGTGTTGCTCTATATTACATTGCAGAGGTACTTCAGAGTCTCAGTCCTAAGCCAGCACACACTGTGTGAAGGACTGCATACAGGCTATCTCCAAAGAAACACTACTTCCAAACAGTCTGCAATGTGCCAGAACACAGGTTTTGTTACAAATTCAAACGTGACGGTCTTGTGCTGCTGCTAATAAACTAAACCACTGGGTCAAAGCTCTCATTCACTATACTCTTATTTATCACGAAGAAACACAAAATTAGATATACATTCTTCCTAATTTAATGCTTCCATTGCAAGTCTGCCATGTGTACTGAAACTGCAAACACAGGTTTGATGGACAAACATCTCCTATCCCATGCAGCAACAGCACTTTGCAGGATGAGCTCCAGCAGAAAAAAAAAAAACAATTCTATGCTATCCACTGCAAACAAGATCTACCTGAGTTATAGAATTTTTCCCTTTTCTTGCCAATGTGTCCAGTCCTTTTAGCGAAGAAAATAAACCCTTCTTATTTCGGACCCTTTGTGACAGAGATAGGGTACGTTTCCTGAGAGCAGCTTCATCCCTGGAGCAGATCTATTTAAACACAGAGACAAGCCTTCCTGTATCACTTTCATAACAGCAAAATATTGACAGTTATTTCAGTGTGAGACATCAAATAAGAGTTACTTTAGTTCATCTCAAAGTAACATGCCAAAGTGCAAGGACAATGTTTTAAACATACAGCAGGGATGCTTGTTTTGGTACTCTAATGGTGTGATAGTGTAATTTTTTTGTCATGAAGCATAATTACGAGGTCATAAGAAGGGAGGAACTGAGAAAATATTGCACTCTACAACAAAAGAAGTTAATGAAAAGGCTCTGAAGAAGAATGAGAACCTATCATTCAGATATGAAATTACTAGAGGAAGAAAGACTCAAAATTGCTAGAGATAAACGTGTTACGGTATGAAGTTATTAACAAGCAATGACACAAACCACACAGATAAAACCAGTGGCAGGTAGAAAAACATTCCAAGATAGTAGCAGTCCTGACTTCTCATGCAGCAAATGTGGTCCATTCCTCTCTGCCAAGGTCAGCCTCACAGCCCTGCCAAGGCTGAAGAGCTGAGGTGAACCTGCTGCTGCTGTACTTGCCTTGAAGCCAAAAGGGTGACAACTTACAGCAGTTGAGGATCTCCCTCATTCTTTGCAAACACAGCCCACAGTTCTTCAAAAGTGATTTATAATTTTGGATTGTCTCTAGTTTTAGTCTATTCTAAAAATATGTCCTCTTCAGGAGGGTATCAAACCGTTTTTTGAAAAATAGAGCCACCTGGGACCTCCAAAAAAGATCAGCTCAGCCCAGAGGAACCTGAACTTTTGGAAACTTTGGTGTTAGCCACTCTAGGTGGCTCAGCTCCTATAGACTGTAAACTCTTCACTCAATGCAGATGAAATCACAGTGACACAATTTTAACACGACAACTCATTTACATCTGCAGAATATTTTGGTTTGGGTTTTTTTTAGGTATAGTTCAGAAGTACCCAAATTTGGAGTCCTCAGGGGCCAAAAAAAATCATAGCCATATACTCGTGGTTTCAAAGTCTGTCTCTAGAAGACAATTTATTTGCAGTCAAAGGCAAAGGGTGAGAAGGGAACATGACTGTCTAAGCAATGTCTGTGGCTGCAATCATATATTATTCCAGGACAATTCCACATCTAAGTACAATACTAACAAAGGCTTTGTGCAACGCACCCATGAAAAGAGCATAGAGACTTACCAGTGCATGGAAGGATGAGACAGAGAAAATGCCAAGTCGCCCCAGTGCCAATTTTGAAGGACGACTGGCAGCAGCCAAAAGGCTCTTTGGGTTTGGGAGCTCCCCACCTTGCAAACTGGCTAGGTAGCATCGCATTCGGAAAAGGTCCATGTTAAATTTTTCCAGGTTCTGTTCCCATTGCTGGATCTGTTTAGGTATAAAAAGGGACAATTAAAAGGGGAAAAATGTCTTTGTGGGCTGCACTGAAAATTCAAGCTCTTCCCCAAACCCATAGTAAATTACTTTCATCTGGCAGTGTATGGATTAGATTAGTTATTCCCGGCCAAAACACATTCAGTCATATTGTGTTACATCAACCCAAAAGATGGCTTGAAATAAAACAAAGCTGGTGGTCTTAAATGCATACTGACAAGATGAACATACCATGAACTTCGGGTAGTTTGATAGCCACAAAAGCAGTTACATAAAAACACAACCCTGTGGTTCACAAAGGCTTTTTTGTTGTTGTTTTTCCACTTCTCTTTCTCTCTCTCCTTTTTGGAGATTAGTTTTGTTTCCTTCACTTTTACAAGCTTAGATTGTATAGCTGGCTGGCTGAAAGCAAAGCAGCATAGCTACACCAATGCACTGGGCAAAGCAAAGCAACACTGGTAGGTCCCGCTCATAACTTACTACCATCCTACAACCTCTCTGTCTGTGAACAGGAAACAATACTGGCAACACAAGCATGTGTAGTTCTTTGTCTGACTAATAGGTTAAAACATGCTTATGTCTGGGCAAACTGCAAAAATACATCCAACATGAACCACTGGACCAAAAGCAAGAACGCACATACGCTCTTCATGCAACTTTTAAATATGTCTAATACAGGTACAGATGTAACAGACAGCATAATCCAGTTTCAATGTAAAAATAGGAAAAGAGAAGACACTCAGATATTTACCAGAAAAATAAAGTTCTGAATCAAGGCATAGATGACAGATCTTAAGTATCTGTGTACATACACACTCATCTATACAAACACATATTCTTATGCGCTGCATGAAAGTCAAATTTTGCTTTTCATTTCCCCAACTTGCAGATTGGTAGCTGCAGCTAAAATCTGCCCCATGGTGTACAATAACCATTAATACTGATAAATAGTTCAAATAAAAAGGCAGCTGCGTTTCATAGAGTAGGTACATTCACACAAGGAAGGGCAGAAAAGGCACATCCATTAGGTTAATGTACACCAAGTCCATTTACTGAAGGTAGTTAAAATCCTCTGACAATCCTGATCTTTCAATGTCAGCTTCAATCACTGCATGTTGTTTGCTCAACCAGTGGTTTAGGGCTGTGGAGAAAGTTCATCACGTTTTCTCTAAGGTGCACTGACTTCATACCTTTCCCTGGCACACCCTGCCTGACCCTGTGCACACAGGACATTATCACCCTACTTTGAGATTAGCCAAGGTTGGGCAACCACCTTTGTGACTTAGAAAACAAGCTGACACACATAATAAAAATCTCAGGTGAACTATGACCTGCAGGCTCATCTAGAAGCAAAATGAGTTCAGTTTCCTTATAATGCTGCCAAATATCCCAAGAGTTAAACAAGTATCTTGCTTCTTTCAACTATGAAGAAGCAAGCAATAGAAGGGCAAAAAAGACCTTATTAGCAAACCAGTGCTAAGACTTGTACTACAACTGATAAAGACCTTACCTAGTCTGGCTTTCTTACACATGCGCTCACAAACTGTGGCATCAGTTATGGCTATACTTTTGGAAGCAAGAGGTAATCTTATTTGGCAGGTAGGGTGAAGAAAGGGAAGACAAGATACTATTTTGTACATTTGCAAATGCAAAATTATGATTTACAGTACAATAATTAAAAAAAAAGAAAAGTCTTTCAGGGAATCAGGATTAAAACCAAAAGATAGAATTTACAAAATACTATCATGACAGCAATTCCCAAAAGTCCAGAGAAAAAGAACAGACATAAACACATTATGAAGATGCCACATCTAATCTCTCACCACAGACATTCAAAGCACACATCCTTTGAAAAGATAATAATTTTTTCTTGGGTTTATTTGATCACTGCCTTTTAGTTTGCTTCCTTTGTGCTCTCAGACAGTCCTCACAGAGTACAAGTTTCTGCTTGCCACTACGTTATGGATGGTACAACTCCAGTAGGAGGTTTTGTGACGAGCTCTTTCTCTGTGTCAACAGTCAACTAGAACGAAAACATGGCTGTCAGCTTTCCACAAAGCCAAAAGCTACAAGCTCAGGTGAAGTCTTTCCCTTTGGGATGACATCTCCATGGGTACAGAGCCAAGCCAACTTTTAATAGCCCAGGAACAGAGCAAGGCTTGTTCTGGACGCTGCTGGAGTGAAGCATCCTGTCCCTGTTGAGCACAAGCTGAACACAGGCATCCTTCTGTTTCTATGGCCTTCTTCAAAATCCCCGTTAAACATTGTACTGAGTTGTATTTTAAAATAAAGATAATCTAAAGAAGAGGGAGTGGGGTATAACACAAGGACACTCTGAAGAAATAATCAAATTACCATGTTTATCAGTCACACAGGATGCTAGCTAATCAGCTCCAAAAACATCGGTAATCATGATGTTACATTTAATGGCATTAGCAAAAGCTGTAGGCAGGGAATTTCTGGGATTGTCTTGTAGTCTTATCAAAACCAGGGATGTCTGGAACCAATTGGAGACCACGAAGCAATACCAGCTGCTATTTGTCTAAGCCTTTTAAACTATGATAATTCTTCCTAAAGATTTATATTCTTGAAGAGTAAATGAGGGAAGCACACAAATAAAAAAGCAACAACTTCAAAGCGCAGTATGACCTGGTTCATGAAGTTAATTTACAGCCTGCAGACTAGCCGCTGCAATCCTTATTCTGCTATTGTGTGAGGCAGATATCCACACCACGTGGGAGGACTGCCCAAAAGACACTCAAGGACTTAACTTCATCATGCACAGACAAAACGGCCCTTTTGAAATCTGCTCGAAAGCAAACAGGAAGAAGTGGAGGCACCAGGCAGCCGTGAGAGCAAGAATGGGTGACAAAGGCTAATAGCAGCACGAAGCAAGTCTGCAAAGAGATAAGAGATACTGCCCAATGTGAGGCATGCCACAACGACTAAACACACATGAAATGCTCCCTGCATGACCTGCTCGGCTGTTGCCCGCACTGTAAGCTACAGCACCCAGGGTATCCAAAACCATCCTCTCTCAGTCACTGTTTCAAAACCTCCATGTGAATTTCTAGTAAAAGCATTAAAAGATTTTCCTAGAGGAAATGGAGGATGTCATTCTCAGTACAGGCAAATGTTAGGCAAGAATTTCTGGGTTTAGTGGCAGCATGGGAAAGCCTGGGAGAAAGGCAACAGGGGCCACCCAAATAAATGTATTCAGCCTAATAGGAGCTCTGTAAGGTAGAGAGGAAAAGGAGGCTGTGGAAGAGAGCTAGAAAAGAGTAAAATGTGCGAAACCTTAAGAATTAAGGCCATTAGTTATTTAGTCTGGCCCCCCAGGAGAACTCATGCAAGGAAGCCGTGTGCAGGAGCAAGACAGTAATTACACGGGGAGTGCTAAGTGAGGGGACAAGCTTTAGCATCAGAAACTTAGTTTCAGGAATGAGTTTTTAAGAGTTACAAAGGAACATTGGCATGATACTTTCAGCAGTACTTTAGCAGCAATGATCATTTTCAGAACATAAATAGCTGATTGCCCTCCAGGTTAGTGAAAAATCTATTCGGACACTAAGAAACAATTGTAAATTAATTACATTTCAAATCTCACAAACAGATGAGATAAAGGAAGATGCTTGAAAGCAGGTGTCTGTTAATTCAACAACCCTGTTAGGTTTTCTATAGGTTAAACTCTGAAGTGGGAGCTTGGGAAAGGCAAAGGAGTAAACACATTCAGACCAGACAATACAGATCTGCAGTTTCCAGCAGGCAACATGGACATCCATAGCTCTTACATGTTATACAGTTCTCTCTGTAGGTGACATTTCTAATGGCATGTCCACTTGATCATGTTAGGGTTTGCAGACCCAACAGTTCCAGGGAAGGCAGCGCCAACAGTGTGACTCTGGGATGGCCCCAGGCTCCTCGCCCATCTTACACTACAGTGCAAATAGCATCTTTTGAGGGGCTGGGGAAGGACTGTCTCACTTTCAAATACCTGTTCTGTACAAAGTAAGAGCAGTTCAGAGTAATAAAAGCCAAACCAGTATGTGAACTATGAAAAGCAGTGCCGGAAATGACACCGTATCAACTCGAAGTAGCAATACTTCAAGAACCTGGAGGAAGGATGCAAGAAACTTCCTGGACAGCTCACCTAATAACAAAATACCAGTTTTCCACTCGCACTTACTTAAGGCTGCAGAAAAGAAAATGCATAGGGAGGAGGGCCTTCTCTTGGTGCTTAAGCCTTCAAAACTGACTGGATTTAGTAACACTTCTTAAACCATACAGAAACATGAGCTCCTGTCTGACACAATTCACTATCCATAGCAGAAAAAAATTCAGAATTTTCCCCTACACAACATCTTCTTCCCAGATGGAAAGTGTCTCTGCAAGCTCTATGGATTTAAAAGAAACTTCTGCTGCTGTTTTATATGAACAGCTTTTCAACCACATTACAAACAACACCAAACTGCATTCCAGTCCTGGTTCTCAGACACAATTCATATTGTCCCCATCTGGATAAATGAGTCACTTGGTTTCTGGGGACAAGAAAAAGATTTTTATTGTCATTACTTCCTAAAGCACACTCAAAGAAGCAAAAACATCACTCTCCCAGAAATTCCATTACTTTAAAGGACATGACAGAGATACCGTCATAACTTTTAGCTCAAAGAAATAAAAAGGGAACATAATAGAGCTCAGTAACAATGATGTGCAATTAGCAATACCCTCTATTCCTCATTCTTCCTAATAACTCAAAAAATTATTAAGAAAACTTCCTGAAATAACAATTTTTTTTTTCACAATAAATGCCATTCTTCTGCTTGTTTTGGGAGAACAGCATCTTCATTATTTCTAACCAAAACAGGGGAAATCTTATTCCCAATACCACGGACAGAACAAAACTGCACCCACATGTACCCAATTTACATTCTTGTCAATAATCTGATCAAAATTGGCAGTACCACATGTATGTCTATAGCTACAGATGTAATTAAGAAAGCAAATGAATCTTACTATTCAACTGCCCCCACTAAAAACCAGAAGACCAGCCCTTTCTACACACGTTTTCCCCACCAGCTTCATTGTATGAGATCATGATGTGCAACTCCACATTCAGCAATAGTTTATTAATTTTTCATTATTTTATACTAAATCCTTGCAATACAAAGACTGAAATTCATCCACCTGCAAAACAGTAATTAGAATGGTCAGGAGAATGAGGATGATCTTCCCTAACTTTATGGCTGCCCACTCATTTCATTTCTTAGGGACAGTCCACTACTACTGAATTGCAGGATTTTACAAATGATGTAGGGAGGGACCATCCTACACTGAAGAGTGGTACCCCAAAAGAGTGCTGAACTCTCAGAAAGTGGAGCTCTGCTGTAGCCAGTTCAAAGACCACCCAACCTGAAGATTTTTTCTAACAAGTTTACATAATTCATTATTTTTATTTATTTTTAGTTTAGGATGGTATGGAAGAAAGAAAAGCTACTGTGCATTGTGGTTCAAGTTGAATTTGTATAAGGCAAAGCTGGCAAGTCTTAGCAAAGTTCCCTGAAAAGTTTCTCTTTGAGTGTTGTTATTGTGAGTCTTCATCAGATGCTTTACAGAAAATTAGGACGTGTAATTTGGGATTTAGGAAGCCTGAAGAATAACGTTCCCAAAACTGTAACAAACATTTTCCTATAAATGTGAGAGAAAAGAGAGAGTCAGGTACATTTTAAACAAAAACAAAAGGAGGATAATGAAGTTATGCTCTGCGTAAAAAGCCAAAGACCACTACAGTGAAGGGAAGAAAGGTACTAACAGATTTAATGACTACCCAGAATAAACAGATCACCACCTTACCAACCTCCCCCTTTTTTTTTTTTTTGTTACAGTAACTTTTAGTTGGAAGACACTGAAAATTTCCATTAAAAATATCTCCAAGAATGTGCTTGTTCTTCTCATTAATGCCTTATCACTTCAGTGCCTGCAAGTAAATATCTATGTTCATAACCCATCTCATAAGTTGAGTATTATGCACATAGAAAATATGAATCACATCCGAAACCTCTGAATAGCTTGGAAAATATGATTATACCAACATATTGAAATTTGAAAAGAAAATCCCATAATGCTTTCAAGCAACTATTGTTTGTTTTATTGTTCTAAAGTGAGACAACAGAATAGATTTATGTACCAAGTAAATAAAGAAGTACACCCAGAGTTGTGGTGCCCTCACTGTGAGGTAGATTTTCCATCCCATTAAAACTAGTTCTACAGGCACAGACAGGTCCACTTCTGACTTAATGTGCAATATTTTGTTAAAAGAGCTCCAAATAAATGCTAATAATCCATTCCACTAACTTCAGTAGCAGTTAGACAGGGCTCCATACTCAAAGAAAACACAGTGATTTCTCTAGCAGGTTAAACAGTGAGGAAAAAGTACTTTAACAAAAATAAAAATAAAAAGATAGGCTTTGAAATTCATCTTGGTGCCAAGGGATTTTCAAACTTTCATCCTAATTCTCTTCAGTTTAGGGGAGAAGTTACACCCTGGGGAAATACCATCACTCACAACATATTTATTACATATAGTAATATAAATGCATGTGGTTGTAAGTAGTATGTGCCAATTCGGGATTTTCAGCCATGCTGCCAGTGGCCTACTGGCACTGCCTGCTCTATGTACAACGCTCTTGCAGATGCTTCACTCATCCCTTCTAAACTGCCAAAAAAACACCAATAGCTGTGTGAAGGGCTGCCATTTTCTCTTAAACAGTTACTAAGTCTATTATTATTATCGGACCAGTAAATCCAGATAGACAAGACTCCCTGATCTAGGCTACAAGGCTGAAGACATTTTTTAAGCAGTTCAATACAATCATTACTTTAGAAAACCCAAATTTTCCTTGTCATTTTTTTGGTTGCATTTCTGTTTAGCACTAGTTTTATCAATTAATCGCCTGCAAATGCACGAAATTTAAAAGATAGTATCGGATGAGCTTATCCAGCCCATCTGCTGCACACCAAAAAGAAACACGTATATACATTAAAATAGGTATAGCAATTTTAGAAGGCCATGTTTCCATACTGCTACTGCCTTTTGGGTGATGTTAACTGTGAAACAAGAGAAGGCTTTGCTTGCTTGTAAAGCCCTGTGAATTACTAGGTCTTCAGCAGAGAAGTATGGGTTTTAAATCAATACAGATGTGAAAGAAAATAGAAAGTTGAGGCTGGGTGGTTGCTTTTCTGAGGAAGAGGAAGGAAAAGGAGAAAGGATCTAGAAATCACAGTTTCCAAGATAATTCCCCAGTGGAAATTAATTAAGATTATGCCTCATCTTTCTACATAAAAAACCCACCATGCTCCTTCTGAAGTCAATCACTCTATTTCCATTGATTTCCCAAAATGTATCGCCAGTGAAGTTTTCCAGTGAAAGCTTATAAACTACAGTGTTGGCAATACAATATACTTCAGCATGGTGGAATGATAACTGCCACATGATTGAAAACACCACCAAATTTACACAAAACCAAATCCAGAATTCATATTCCTCTTGTTACTCAAAGTGGGAAAAAGACAACTAAACAACCACAGTTACTAAATAACTGAGCTACATACATGCAAACATTTCCCTCAGGAATAATGTTTTTTTCAAAACTGTTAGCTTACTAAGTATATTAAGAATTCTTGGTTACTAATTACATCAAGATTTTTTTTTTTCCCTCTGCAAAAGCCAATCTCTGACATGTCAAATCAGAAGATTAGGAAACCCAGTTATCTACTGACTTTTCTCTGAGGTGACTTTGCCAATAGACCTTCAGCAATAGTAAGGTAAGATTTTATAAAGATCAAAAGGTATCAAGACTGGAGGAAAGGCTCATTATAAATTTATTGTTTGCTAACTAGTGGATATTTGCACATGATCCATCTCACACTCTGTCCCTCTGGTTTGCCCTCATTCAATATTCTTTCATAGGTAGAAGACTAACAGGAGTAAATCTGCAGCCACAGTGATGGATTTCAGCTCTAGGAAAACACAGCCAACTTCTTCCAGGTACTGAGCTGGAAAACAATGGCAGTTGTTCAAGGACAGAACATCTAATTAGCAGATATTAAAAAGCATCGTTAATACTCTTCACCTCACTCTAAATAAACTGCTAGCATCAGCCAGAAACCAAAGCAAGAAATAATGGTAAATACACTCCTGCAAAATATTATTGCCAGTACCTGATTCTCTATGGCCTTCCTGTTTTTTGGATCACTAACAATTGAGAGCTGCAATTCTGCCATTTTTTTCATCTTGCCATCCATATCAATCTTCTGGAAGAGACTCTTGGTTTGATTTTTCAGCAGCCTAATGGTGTCTTCTTTACCAAGCTTCTTCGCAAAGAGGGAAGCACAGGCTGAATGTATGGCAGTAACCCAGTTTTCTAGATCCGTCTGGCTTGTTGCCTGTGAAACAAATCAACAGCACAACATTATGACCAGACAAGAGGAAAAAAAAAAAGTAATAAAAATCAGCAGCTCTAGCATATGAAGTGCTTGACAGGTTCTCTATGATCTTAGGAGTTTATCTTAAAACAAATGAAGTAAGGTTTTATCTTTAAAACTGTACAAATAAAGAAAGCGTGAACTTTTCCTCCGCTCCATCATAACTTGCTTCCAACCTTCAGATTCTGCTTCTCAGACCTGCAAGGTCTGAGATCTCCAGGAGCACAACAGAGCCTCACAAGCTGTGGGAAAGACGTGACTCTAATTAATTAAGGTAAACCCCACCAGATTTCTAAAATAAACCTCCTCTTCTGCAGGTAATACTGCAACAGAGAAGATTTTCAGGTAAGGCCTGAGGAAAAGTGTTTGCTTTCTTAAAAAATCTTAAGTTAGTGGAGAGAGGACAGTCAGGTAAAGATAATACATCTGCACAAGCTGTCTCTGGAGTTATTTACAAGCATGCCTATGAGACAATACATTTCTATGCAGGCAGTTCTACATAATAGTGTTCTTTATTAACATTTCCAGTGGTGCAGATAAGCAGCCAAGATCTTTAGATTATTTTTAGCCTTCGCTTTTGAACATCTTGCTCAAGCAAACTCTCTTCAAGGCCAGCAGATTCAGGGTTGAGCACACCATTTTGTAAGGGTAGAATGCTAACAAATGCAAAAGAAATTGATAATAAAGCTGATTTTCTAGAAGCTTGTAACAACCAGATACCAAAAGGGTTTTGCAGATTTGTGATCTTAGTTCTTTTTATATCTGAACCATAATTGAGCCAACTGGTGAGGTATCATATGCCTGAAGTCATGTCATACACATAAATCAATATTATAATAGAGTGTAATAGAGCCATTATGCTATTATTTTTAAGTTAAAGGCACAAACATGATGTCTGTGTGTGTGCATGTGTATACACAATCATATACATACATGTGCATACTCATAAATACATTCTAAAATGGAAACAACTACAAAGTTACATATGCATACTGTTACCTGAAATAGGTAGACATCTCCAAAAGAATTGCTGAGACAGAACACGTTTTCTTTCTTGGGATGTTCTGGAACAGACTGAACTATACTGTCTTCTGCAAACAGGGCGTATCGAGGCAAACTGCTCTGCTCCATCGAGTTCCTTCCATAGGTCTCATAAAACAACAGAGTGCAACCTTTGCAGTTCAGAGGGACAAAAAAACATAAGGAGAAAGTAAGTTCTGGATCTCCCATTTGAGTTCTCTTACATTAATGCTTTTGTGAAGTAAGACACCCTTCAGCAACTGAGAACATCAGTTCTGATCAGTCCCTTTTCTGAAAAAAGAATTAAAAATGAAGATCATCTAAACTGGAAAATAGGCAAAGAGAATGATGAATTTGCACAACAAAAATAAAATTAAAAAAAACAAAACAACCCAGGATACCTCAGTAGGGAAGTGTCCATGGTCAGATTGGATGGGGCTTGAGTAACCTGATCTAATGAAAGATGTTGCTACCCATGATAGGGAGTTGGGCTAGTTATCTTTAAAGGTACCTTCCAAATCAAACCGTTCTGTGATTTTATTAATAAACTCAGCCTATTAAAATATTAAAGACAGTAGAAAAGATTAATGCCTGCTTAGTTAAATCGGCTTTTGTGTTTCTTTATTAAATTAAAACAACTTTCTCAAAGAGCCAGCTAAGAAATCTTTGTATTTGTTGAAAAGATTTGCAGAAACTCTTATCTTTATACAACATGCATAGTGAATAAACTTCTCAAATTTAACTGGATTTCCTTGCATCTACCCACAAACTGGAGACTAAGACAATTCTGATTAAAACAATTTAAAGGGGCTAAGTTTGAGCATGTTCAGTCTTGTAGGTAGTGTAATATCTAGGTATAAAACTTGCATTCAGAAAGCACACATCATGCTTGATGATGACAATCCTGAGTGTAACAACAGGAATTACTTCTGGAAAACAGCAGAGAGACTTGATCCCAGTCCCTGACAATATGACTACATTGCCATGTTGCCTTTAGCTGGCTCAAGAAGGCCCCACCCCCTCCATCCCCAATAGCCTTTCATTCCTGCCCCACGTTACAATCCACTATCCCCTGAGATGCACTAATTTGCCTGTTCCAGGGATCACAGACTGAACTGCATTACTAAAATAATCTAGTTCTAACCTAGATTTCTCAAGAATTTCTAAGGCTAGCTGTACATCCAGATAAAACAAGTAAATAACCCCTGGTAAATGGCAGCTTAATAATGGAGGGGTTGGTGCTTTTCTTTTTTAATTTGGAAGATAAATTAATATTATACTGTGGCTGAAGGTTTAACTTGTAAGAACTAAGACCAGATACTGTAAATACATTTTGAAAACTGAGGATAATCTAACGCTCAAATTCATTCAGGAATTAATTTAAAGACCTATGGCTACATTACATAGCAAGTCAGACTAAATGATCACAGTGGTCCCTCAGGGCCTGGTAATCCACGAATATGTTACTTCTGTAAGACCTATATATATTCAGTAGAGGACTTAAAATACAGCCAACACAAGGCTTGAGTTTGCTAGAGCTACAGCACTGTCATCTCTCTAGACTGCTTTTTGTTGTTTTTTCCTTAAAATCAAAGAGGCACCACAACACAAGGTAGCACCAAAAGCGAGATTTTGGGTTGACATGCTGATTTTCAGTCTGTTGGTGTTTCTCTGTGTGACACAATGTGTGTACACATGCACATGCCCCTACTAGTGTGTATCAAGGGGATATAGCGAAACTGGTGAAACAGAAATGTTTCCTCTGTGAATGCTTGCAAAAGAGTTATGTAAAAAGAGAGTTCAACCTTTATTTTAGCAATTCTCTAACATTTACACTTAACGCTGCACGAAAAATCCCAAACATGTCATCCAAAATCATATAAATTTAGTGGAACTTCCTCAAGGGTGAGAGATGACAGAACCAAAATCAAGGGGTTTTTTTGATTCTTCTGTCTGATAAAGAGGAAAGTTGGGCCTACGAGAATTTATGGGACACAGTTGCTGTAAAAAGTTACGAGGTGGAATACACTCGCCCTTATACAGCCCAGATCTCAAGTGTACAAAAAGTGAGGTCCATCATAGAACAAGCATCAGAAATGGCCAGGAGAACTCTCCAGAGAGCCAGAAGGTCTCTGCTGCTATATGTTTGACAGAGATGGATCCCACCTCTCCCCAGTGGAAGTACTTTATAACTGCTCCTCTACCACATTCAGGCAATCACATAGTCTGGTGCTAATGAACAGTTACAAGAAAAAGGGAAGTATGTATCAGAGATTACTGATCAAATCATCTGATGATTGAACAGTTTTCAAAGGAAGAAATCCAACAAATAGAAATGCTTCTATACTACTTAAGTGCACCTTTTCCTATTACTGTCCAGAGCTTCTGGCAGTATATCTAGGATAACAGCAAATCCTATAGAGTTGGTCCCATCCTTTCCCCTTAGCAGCCCTCATCTTTATGACACAGAAACACTTGGAGATCTCTACAGCTGGAAAAGAAGGATATGGTTTATTATATTCTGTGTATCAGGCATGGCACTTCTGTCATCATTTTAACATAACAGGGCAAACTACACCAACAAAACCAAGTCCCCTCTTGTGCTCAGCAGCAGCAGCAGGGCTGTACAACCACTTCAACTTCTGCATTTTAGGAAAGCAAATTAAGTTATATTTTAAACTCCCACATACTCCCAATGTGTTACCAAAAAGATGACTAAAGATATGTCACTTTTATCCTGACAGTTTAGATGTACATTAATAAAGAATTCTGAAGTGCATGCATGTGTGTTCAGGTGTATGGCACCCCAGGTATATCTTCAGGTCAAGCCAAGCGATCCCGGGAAGCAGATAGTTTCATAAACTCTGACAGACCCACTGGGACTGATTAGCGTCCAAGTATTTTAATCAGAACTTGAACTGAAGGGGGAAGGCAATGGGAATGCAATTTCCCTTGTTAAAATAAACTAATTAGACAGGACAGATGGAAAAGAGAGTTCCTCTTGTTAGAGGGTTACTATTCCAGCTCAGGTCTTGGTGGCCCTGAAAGTAGAGCAAGGGGCCTCAGGACATGTATACTTTGAAGTTTGGCAGGTAACCAGATGTTCATAAGCCTTCTGCATATTTATAATTAAACACATCTCAATGGAGTGCAAAGAAACATGCTGATCTCCATTTGCATATGTGGCTATTTTAAGCCATATTTTTAAATACCTTGGCTATTTAAACTTCAAGAACAAATTAAATACAGATTTATTCAAAACTCTCTATAAGGAGAACCAAAGCAAGCGCCTTGATCTTGATATAGCATATTATGAAAACAGAACTACGCCTTGATATCCAGACAGGCAAGTTTATTTTGGCATCAGAAGCCTCCACAGGACAATAAAGGTACAAGATCAAGGAAATGAGGAATGTATATTTAAAACAGCTAACAAAGCGGAAGAGATTCTGCACCATGAATGCAGCCATATCGTGCACCCATAGTAAAAAGCATTGTATCTAATACTTCTTACAATGTTAGAAGTTAATAAAGTTTATTACAAAGAATTTTATTATTCCTTTTTATAGCTGGGAAAATTCAAGAAGCAAGAAGGGATGCGAGTTATTCAAGGTCACCAATAAACCAATTTTATAGCAAAGAACTGAACACGAAGCACCTAAATTCCTTTCCTGAGCTTCATTATCTCAGAAATGCACGAACTACTAGTATACAATGTACTTCAGTTTAGAGTGTTGATAGGTTTAGAAATAACCTGAATTTTAGAAGAGGCAAATCAAACTCATGTTCATACTCCTGAACACAAACACATACAATAAGAGGGTAGAACTCAGATATTGTTTTTCCCTTTTGTATACACTGCTTGCAAGCATGACTCATGCTATCTGATGATCAGGATAAGTGATTTAAACTGTTAAGACTGCCTACATTTTGATCCCTTGATAACAGGTCTCTGAATTATTAGGCAGAACTGCTACATTCCTGCATGTGTGCTTCTTTTAAATCAGCACTATTGAGGACAACATGCCCAGCACTTGCTGTTTGCTGTTCGTTTTCCTTCAGCTCTACACCCATGCAGAATTTTGAAAAGGGCAACCGGTGGGAAAGCTGTTATTTTCTCTCTTCCAGTCCCATATATGCTAGGAAATTATTAAGTTTGATCATTTCCTTACTCATTAACTTAGCATTATATTTACTGAAAGGCAAATCCTTTGGATGCAATTAAAAAAAAAAAATTAAAAAAAAAAGCCTATGAACTCACACATTAAATTCCTCTTCCTCCCCACAATAGATGTTATTTTTCCTCTCACACTGCCTGACATCCATTCATTTCTTCCAGCACACCTACCTGCTCAGTTACTCTGAGCCATCCACGTGCACTGTGAGAGCAGCAATCGCATCACAGCCCCATTCAAGCAGATTCCCCTCCCATAGGGCTGTTTCACAGCAGGAGCAGGCAGGGAAAATGGGAAGGTGGGCATGCCAGAAGCCAGAAGAGATTGGTACTGCGGGGAGTGGGCAAAATGAAAGGCCATCCAGGTAAAGGAAGGAAACTGGCAAGCCCTGGGAGTGGTCCATGGCAGCTAAGCCTCAGGCACCGCAGGGCTTCCCCTGCTCCTGAGTCAGCCTCCTCTGCCCTGAGTTGCACACTTTTCAGTGTAAACGCTCTAGCACAGGGAGTTCACATCTTTACTATGCTGCCATATTAAGCACTGGACATAAACTGAACATTTTCACGTTAACTTACCCCAGTTTTAAGTAAACGTCATAGCAGAGCTCAGGGAATTGCCTGTGACAGGGAAGTGGGCACCCAGGACTGGTCCTGATCCTTAAATTTTGGCTCCCCCCGAGACAGTGGTGTGGCTTCCGTATTTTTCTCAGGTTTGGTTCAATTTGGTCTCGGACCTCTAAACATCCAAAAGAATCTTCTAAACCCCCAATTCTGCTTGAGTACAGAAACTGGGAAGTCAGACAAAACAACACTCTTGCTATGGTATGAACCGCAAGGCTGCACGTACAATTCCAAAGACATGAGTGCCACCTTGATTAAGCAGGCTGCTTAGTCACATGCTCCACTTTAAGCGTGTGCATAGACCACGTGAAGTTAGGCATGAATTTCTGATCCCACTCAACCTGCTAACAGAAACCAGCATGCATGAAAAGTTGCTGAGACACAATGGAAACAACTGCCACCATCAAGCCAAAGGAGAGAAACTATGGTTTACCTTTGAGTGCGACCCAGTACTGCTTCCACTTCCGCCGTGTGACCAGCTCCAGCTTCTTCTCCTTCTGCAGGGTCACCAGGGGCTTGAAGAACAGCCACCCTGCCTTGCGCACCACTCCTTGCTCTTTCTCATACAACAAATCCAGCTGCTCCAAGGAGCTGAGGGACTCGCCACTGGAGTCCTCCGTTTCTGACGAAGTCTCAGTGTTCTCCAGGTTTGTCCTGCTCATCTCCAGCTCCCGCATGAAGTTTTCATAAATGTTCTGCCTCAGGGCATCACTGCTGACCGCGTTGGTGGACTCACTTCTCTGGGACAGGACATGGCTGGAGCCGGGTGACCACAGCAAAGCAGAGAGCTGTGACGGTGCCAGCGTGTCTGTAGTGAAGTTGTCCATTCTGCTGTCAAAGTATTCACTCCCATCTTTACACTTGGGCTCCTGCGGGAAAAAAAAGGAATAATTTGTCAGTGCTCAGCCACCAGAGCTATGACAAAAAGACACCTCATCTGCTATTTAAATTTGTTTCATGTTTAGCCACAGCCAGTTCCTTCATCAAGGGCCACATCTTTTCATCATTACATCATAGGCTTTGCCTCAGAAGTCATTGACAATGCCAGTGCCACCACTCATGGTTTTCTCAAAAGGACCCTATTAAACCTTAACCACTAAGTCTGCGAGCTTTGGTAAGTCAGACACCTGCGAGTAATATCCAAATTCACTACTAACTACTGGGGCTTCCTCTGGCTGAAACATGAGGGACTGCAGGAGACAATCACATCATCCAACTGAAACCCAAGCACTGCAACTTACATGCCTGTTTGAGTACAAGCAGGAACAGTGTCACAACAAGTGTCTTTATTATTGCAGAGGTTTCAATACTTCAGTGACACCCCATTTGTGCAAGGCACCTATATCTAGCTTTAGCAGAGCGAGGCTGATTTTACCTTCACTTTCTATTTGCAATATAAACTTTGCTTAGCCAACACAAAAAAGGTCAAAAGTTGAGACTATTTTAAGCTGTTAGTATTGACCAATTGACAAAAATCTAACTTAAGATGTGATTAAAAAAAAAAAAAAAAAAAATAAAAGTGGATAAAAAAAAAAAAAAAAAAAAAAAAAGACATGCTTGCTGACTGGCACAAATCTGGTCTCCAGACTGCAAAGGTACGTATTTTCTTCTTGGAAACCCCCCGGAAGGTTGACTATCTCATCAAGCACTACCAGGCCTTTCTCCTAATTGCATTGTGCAGCTTCATCCCCTGTATCGACACAGCTGGCCCATGTTATTTGAAATACTCAGACCTGATGGTATGGATGCTAACCTAGGCCCATTTCTTGCAACTGCTTGTTAACATGGGACCTTGTTGGCAGATTAGGCCTTTTCTTTCCTAAGCCTTTCCAGTAATGTGCTGAATGCTCCCCAACTCTCCCAGGGTCCAGTAATGAACAGGGATTTTCATCCTTGGTTACACCCCTTGGTCTAGCTTCACTGTTGAGAATCACATCATCCATCATACAAAGCCATTCATTGTCTTCCCAACTGAAGCATTGCTGACAGTTTTTAAAAGCAACCAAGATTTAAGAATACAAATAACTTGATGCCTTTTGCAGTAAAAGCGTGAGGGAAGAGACTGCTATGAACAATTCAGAAAGCAAAGCTATTAGCCTCAGCAATAATAAAGCTATTATACTTCAAAGTTTAGACCGCCTCTCTAAAAAACATTTATTTGCTCACAGACTTCTCTACATGAATAAAGCAAACAAACCTTGGTCTCCTGTGAGCTGCTCTCACCAGCAGCTTTGAAAGCAACTACTTTTTTGTTCCTTTGCTTCCTACCCAGTGCTCTTCAAGACTTCAGCGGAAAAGCTGTGCTGAGTTTTGATAGCATCAGGACCTCCAGAATGCAGCCAAGAGCAACAGTGGGATCACACACCCTCTCAAGTGTCACCAGACAAGCCACTTCTCAAGCAGCAGGACACTGCTGGTCATGGCCTCACAAAAGCCAACTTGAACCGAAACTCACATTCTCTTACAGTACACTGAAGTTGAAGTCCGGCTTTTCAGATCACTGTCTCTGGTGACAACAATTCAATCCTTGTGGTAATGCAGCACCTTCCTCATATCTTACTGCAGACTGTTAATCAGAGTTCTCTGCAAGTAACTCCCTAAGCATCGGCAGTTTTGCTTTTTATATGGTAAAGGGAGAGAAATAGGGGGAAGGGAATAATCACACGTGCAATGTGTTTATGCCCACAAAGCGACTGTACAACATGGCTCATACAACTGCACCAGCCATCTGCAGTTCAGTGGGAAACTGGAAGCTTTCTCCACCCTCTTTTTAATTACTGTCACTGTATACGTGTGCCAAAATCCTGTATTTTAATTGTTTGATTATTCTCCAGGAACTGCCAGTGTCCTCTAGAAGACTAACATATAGTTTATTAAAAATATGAGTTTCTTTCAGTCCCAAAGCACTAGTAAGAAAAACAACATGAGATGGTGTCTGCTGTGAAGGGCCACTACTTAAGCAACAAGCATTAACGAAAAGGGTGGGATACAACCTGTCCATAAACAACCACTAACCACATCCTATGTTTTCTCCAAGCACACAGAAAGGGTAGAAATGAGGAAGTACCAGCGCAGAGTAAACACAGGAACCAAAATGAATATACACACTTCACCATGACAACACCACTTGTATTTTATTTTTTCTAAAGAACAGAATTGGCAGAGTCACACAGTCTCTGCTGGTCCTCAGGGAGGGTGTCACTGTAGCAGTATCTGGTCACCACTGAAAAGGTCTGACCCAAATTGCTGCTGGTGGTGGTTTCCCTGCTGGGCAGCTCTCTACTTGTTTACTCTCTGTTGCATCTAGCAGTGATAGAAAACTACTACTGCTTCTGCTTGACTGCATTCAAGCAGTCCTCTTAACGTCTGAGATATACCCTGGAATAGTTGTAGATAATGCAAGAGTGGCTAACTAAGATACCAATTAGACAAAGTGATGCATTTAATAATTAGCTCTAAAGAACAGTACAGGAAACAATGCAGCCTGCTAAATTCATTAGGGCCCAAGCTCAAACTAGAATCTAATACTAATTTTAAAGCCAAATAAAGAGGTTGTCTCAAAGTACTTTTATTTTAAATCCTCTTTACACCACACTTTGGGGGTCTGGCTTATAAAGTCAGGAAATTTCTGAAATTAATCTCATAAGGAGTCTATTTACTATTTAATCTATCTGCAGCAGCGGTCTCTGGTGGCTGGATTTTCATTATACATAGCAATTTCTCCATGTTTTACAGCTGCACACTGACTTTATACCACCGCCTTTAGCAGTGGCTAAACGTGCAACAAGCTTGCCTAAATTCTGTCCACAGGTTGCACATGCAGCATATATACCTTGCTGCTCACACAGAAGGTATCCTGATACAGCATCTACCCAACGCCATTTCAGCAACAATTAAACTAAGTGAGGACATTCCGTGCAGTAGAGTACCAGGGAACATATTAGGACACCCTCATGCAATGAAACCTAGCTCATGGCACAGAATGGCTGCAAGTCTGACATGAGATCATTATTAGAAAGGCAAACTCAATTCCAGGATATATCAGATCAAGTCAGACATAAGGAAACATCCAAGTCACTAGACAGGGTACAGCCGTGGGCTCCTCTGGAATATCCCGTATCCAAATCTGTTTGTGGATGATTTAAAACAGGTGCAGAGGAAGGGTGCCAGAATGAAAAAGGAAACAGACTTCCTATCTTCAGACAGGAGACCAAAAAGAGTCTGTATAACCCCTCAACTGTGGCCCGAGAAAATATACCATTTCTCCCCTTAAATAAATCATAACAGATTAAATAATAGGGAAGAATAACTAATGTAGTAGACAATGCTGGCATTGGAACAAACTGGCCAGGACTACATTTACTCTACAAATTAGCAAGCATCAGAGTAAAAGGGTTTGGAAACAGACTTCAAGATGGGGAAAAGTGCACCTGATTTTAAATTGCAATTTGTTCACAAAGGGGATTAAACTCCACTGCCTTTCTAGCAGCAGGGCACCGGCCTCAATATCCCAAGACTGTGCCTTCTGGTCCTGTGCCCCGTCAAGCAGGAGGCTTGGCTGACTTGTTTCCACCGGGTCAGCTGGAGGGACCTATCCACCCAGTCAGCACCAGTGCATAGGCTGAGTTATGAGAAAATATTCCAGCTTTCACCTACATTCAGCCCAAGTGACTCACAATCAGTTATTAGTAATGTACTGAGGAAGGGACACATTGTTCAGAGCAAAGCACGGGGGCTACAATCGCTGTGATGAACAGTCCTACAAACAGGGATTTAACTATCTGACACATCATAACCACACATGGTACTTCTACATTTTTAAGCCAAAGAAACCAGTGAGAGTATAATCATTACCAACCCACAACACAGCAGCCCCCAGAAGAGATCGCAGGTTACTCAAAGTGTGCAAGGCAGAAAGGAACTGACCAAGCCTCACAAGGAAGGCAAAATCATAAAGCATTCAACACCCTTCTTATCCTTTCTGTCGCTGGATATTTGTCTGATAAAAATCAGTGACTATTTCCTATGCCTTTTTCTAAGAAAACACCATTTTTGGAGCTAGAGCTTATTTCCTTCTACCAGAGTCAGATTCAAGCTTGATGCAATCTCGACAGCCAAATTTCTTTGCTGCGCCTGCAGTCAGTTCACTGCACAGTGAATTCAAAACAGCTATGAATTGTGCACCACAAATACCATTCTGAAAATGTCATAACTAAGTAATACATAGCAAGGTTCTGGGATGCAGAGATCATATGTAAAGCCTGGCTGTAAAATCCAGAACAGCAACAGATGTTGAAACCAGTGAAGAATCTTGGCACAAGGTGCTGAGGCTCTTCACTGATTCCAGTTTTTCTGCCTTGCCTTCTCTTTCACAGCCAAGCAAAAAGGTGAAGAGACAGCATCTGATAAAGTGCATGAGCACCAACTCACAAAAGAAGTGATCCAAATAAATAGCTTTCATTTTCATTTTCCCAGTTCCGTAGATTGTACCTAGGATTTATGCTGTCAAACCTTATGCCGACCTCATTTCTGAGCCTAAAGGTCCTGTCGGTGGTTTACACTGCCATGACAGGTGCCTGCTAAGCACAATACCTGTTTGAATTTCCAACACAGGAGACAGCATTTGCTTTATATGCTGCATAAAGCATGTGTTATGCTCTACTGCACAGCTGCTGCCTAAGTTACAGAAGAAGGTGCTCCCTTCACTCTGCTCACTTCTGAAGAAGTCAGCACTCCGATGTCTCTGAAAAGGACCAGATCCTTCATTTAGGGAAGTACAGTGACTGTTCCTGTATAAAAAACACTAGGGAAGAAATAAACAATACAATAATAATAAAAGATCCAAACCAAAACTGAAAGCAGTCTGTGCCCCCCATTTCAGCTTGTGAATTCAGGCAGAAGTCCAGGCACAGTCTGGCATTTAAACAGCCAATTCTAGGGCATACAGCTAGAGATAAGAATTTCATTCCTAACCACAGGCATCCTAAATTCCTGTTAATAGGATTAGCCTTAAATTCTTCTAAGGAAACATCCTTTCCCTCCCTCTTGCCCTCCTCCCATTTCCTTCTTCACACCACCATCTCCCAGCAAGCCAGATGGCAACTCAAGCTTTCCCATCTGGTGAACTAAGCTGACACACAGGAAGGAGGAGGGCACATCATGTAATGCCTTAGTGGAGGTGGAAGCAGAACAAGCAGCCCTGGTCCGTACTCTATAGTTGCTTGCCTTGCTAGAGATGGACCAGCAATGAAACCAAAGTGAATGGTAAAGCCAATAATACAAATAGAGAATACCTTCAAAGATATTTATAACATCCTCCTTCTACTGCTCTTTCCATACTCTTCAGAAATGTATGCTGATTTATAGTACAGGTGAAAAAAGAGAAGGCTTAAAAAGTCCAAGTCACTTTTTAAGTAATGCAATGATTTCAAAAGCTAATTCACTGAGAGATTAGGCTGCAGAGACTGGAGTTAACTAAGAAACTGACAAAATAGAAAGGGAAAATTTGCACATAAAAACGTTTATCTTTTTTTTGCTATTGTAATTTCAGACAGCTCCAGCGATGTAATGCTTCTCAGAATTCCACAAATTACTAAATCAGATTAGCAAGTAATTATCCTGTGAGAAATACAAACATGACTGCACATGTAGCAATCGCTACATTTATAAGAGGAATCTACAAACCAACTTTCAGGCACTTAAGCTGGGATTTTTACGTACCTGCAGCTTCCTTTTCTTCCTCGAGAGGCTTCCTGTCCAGTCACTGATGCGTCGCATTCGGTTTTTTAATGTATCCTTCTTGGATGCATCCTCACTGAGGGGCTTGGACTTTCTGCATGGGAGTGTATAGGAGGAGTAATGTGCAGGACTTCCCTGCTCTACCCTGGAGGGAACATCAATATCTGAGGCAAATGAGACACGGTTGCATAGGCTTCCATGAGTGTCAATGTACTCGTCAGACAGCCTGATCCCAGGTAGAGGAGTGCTTTCCAAATTTGTATCCTTATAGAGATCTCGAAGTGAGGAAAGAGATGAACTTTGGTTGAAGGACTTCTTGTTGTCGCCTGCTGGGAAACTGGCATGAATGCTTGTATCTGGAGTGCTCCTGGTCAAGTACGGACCATCCAGTTCATTGATATCCCCAGCATTTCCCCAGAGAGAGTCATACCATGAAGACTCAGAACTGAGGGAGCTTCCTTTACTAGATCGAAGCCTTGAATCAGTAGGTGACAGACGATGGCTTGAAGAACAGTCTGCACTGGAGTTCCTCCTGACGTCGAGCAGGTTATTTGGCTTAGATTCCAAGGCAGGTGAATACCTCAGCAACTGGACTGGACCACTGGACTCCTCAGTCGGTACCTTGCTGTTGCTGGTATTGTGGAACTCAACCCTCAAACAACCATCCAGCTTCCCCAATGTTTTAATGAGAACTTTTGGACTTCTCCTGTCCTCTGATGGGGAGGTTGATGCAAGACTCTCATTCTTTCCGTAGCAATTTAAAATGTGCCCATTGCATTCTCGAGAGGCAGTGTGATTACTTCCAGCTTGAAGGCCGATATAGTGGAAACCATTCTCTGGCAAAAACACCGTGTTATTTCCTTGGCAGTAGTCCCCTGAGGTATTTGTCCTGTGTTTGGCATGGGCATTGCTTTTAGAGACCTTCACCACAGTGTCACTGAGTCTAGATGAATATGGCTGACTACTCTTGAAGTGTGAAAGGCAGCTTCTGGCAAGGGACCTTGATTTGTAGTTTGAGCCACTATTGGTATGCCCCCATCCATGCATAGAGCAAGACTTTTCATCTTTAGCATGAATGCTGCGAATTTTCAGAGAACAAGGCTTCTGCTTGGCACTGGCTGTAGCAGCAGCATGATTTTTTGATCCCTGTAGACTGTATTGGCTTTCTGAATTCCCCATTTTCCACTAAATTAAGAAAAGTTTCGTTAGAAACAATGGCTAGTAGACAGCGAAAAGTAACAGACCGTTTTTACCCTCTACACAGGAAAATGCCTTTTTAAAAATAATATGAAACAATTGTTTCAAAAAAAAGCCATTAAATAGCCATTTACAACATTAAATTCATAATTGAACTTCTTTTAGGGGCAGGCTAGGAAAGCCTATTCTCTGTGTGGTTCATTACCTCTCTGTTATAAAGCTGGAATCTAACTCCATTGAAATCATGTCAACACCTTTCTCCACCCACACCCTTGGCAACGTCCTTTTCTTATAACTTACAAAATCTCTGGCTCCCCAGAACAATGGCATAATGAAAGGGAGACAGCAAGATAATCACAACTTAGATGTAAAGTGAACTGTACTTTCAAAGAAATCCCTTCTGTCAGGAGACCAGCCCAAGTTTCAGTTTGGCTGGTTTCTTTGCAATCAAGTGTTGCCTCAGTGAACTGTTCAGCAAACCCCAACTTTGTGCTTAAATGGAGTCAATCCAGGATAAAGGAAAAAGAAAACCCAAATGAAAAAATAACCTAGTTACTGAAGAGCCTCATCTTCCATTACAGCACAAATCAGCATTATGTTCGTTCAGCATGGCACAGTTTGGTAGTTCAGTTAGTAAAATGCTCTTCAGCTTTTTACTGAATTCACACTGAATAGCACACACTGGAGCAGTCAAATTGCCCCAGTGAGATAACCGAAGATTTTGGACCTACATAAAGTGTACCCCAGAGCAAAAAAGATCGATCTGTTCTTTTTGTTATTTGGAGTGAATCTCCATTGTTTTGTAATTTACAGAAACAACATAAGTGCTTTTCCATTGGCACTACACTTCTTTGCACGTTGGATCTCAGACTATCACTCTTAGGAGAATATACTGCAGCCTCATTAAAATTTTGTCAAAATAAGCCATTGCAAAAGCACAATCTTATCTTCTAGAGTCTGTATATATTTTAACATACCTACATCTACCACTTAGCACTTTTAGATGAAAAGCGCAGCATAGAACGAAGAGCAAACCTGTAGAATCACACTTAAACACAGGCACAGTTAGCAGTTAACATGGTCTGCATTGTCTTTGTGGCCAGCCATTACTCTTGCCAAAACCAGGATGGAGTTGCATGCAGCCTTCCTAGAAAACACCAAAAAGACAAAGAAGGTCTTTCAGTCAAATAGAACTTACACTTTACTCCAGCTATAAGCAAAATGAATTAAAAAAAAAAAAAAAACACCACCCCACAGATTGAAGTTACAAACAGAAAAGAGAGGTCTGGTCCAGGGATTCCTGGACATACATTTTTATAAACATAACTTTAACAGCTGACATGGAATTAATAAAATTAAGTCACTGTTTGGGTGTTTTATTTTCTAATTCTGTCCTTGTCCCCTCTGAATAAAAAGTTAAGGCAAACTTTGAGCCCCCTCCAGTTTTCTTTTTGGAAGACCAACTACAGATGGCAGGACTGTGCAGTGATCCATTACAATGTGGACTAAACTGGCCAGAGCAATGTCCCACAGCATCTGTTTATCATTCCCCAAGCCTGGATTCAAACTATGACCCCTGCCATGAAAGGCCACTGTGTAATTCACTCCATCAACCACCCAGCAACCTCCCTCTTCAGGTTTGTTCTGGTTTTTAGGTTAATCTGCCAGTAAAACAAGAAAAAGGCAGCACCAAGAACTGCACACAAACAAAGGTAACAAGACCCAAGTTCTCTTGACCATCTGAACATACCGTCTCTTCACTTGGCACGCAAAGGCCACAACTCAAATCAAAAGGACAGAAGCCGAATCTCACAGAACACACCAGCAGTTTAGTGATTGAAAGTCAGTAGGAAAGCCAATGTACAAGACCCCAGGCTCAGTTTCAGAATACACATTTTAGCTAGAAACCAGTCTTAATACACTACCTCAAAAAAATACTCTTCTCTGCGTAAATTCAGTGGCTACTGTTCATAATTTTCAATTGAATAACTACTTGATTTGAACATGTAGAGTTTTGCTTTTTTGACTTGTTTTGTGATTATTTACTGTATAAGAACCTTGAAGATATTTAAAGGAATTCACTGGCAACCTAGGTATTTCGCTAACCTTACCAAAAACAAAGGTAAAGGTTGCAAATAGAACTATAAACAGTCTCAAAAAGCCTAGAGAAAGGTTAGCAGAAAAAGTCCAAAGAACATGCTACAGACCTCTAATCACAAAATCACAAAGATATTTGATAAAACAGACAAGCCACAGAAATACAACCTTGTTAAAAAAAAAGATAAATAAAAATAAAAATATCTTTTTAACTTTCTTATTCTCTAACAGTTTGGAACATTCCTGTTTAGGATACCCTTGCCTCTCAGATTTGATTTGCCTAAGCTGTTAAGTGCACCCATTTATGTAAACAGTTTTTAAAATGTCATATGCAACATGGATTAAACAAAAGATTCAAGGTAAACAAAAGACAACACACAAACTTCCTACACTCCAAGCTGCTGAACAAATTGTGAACCCCCAGCAAAACTGCCTTCCCCGATCCAGGAGGCGCACACCACAAACAAGCAATGAGTTTACATTCAGAATTCTTCATCTGTGAGCAGAAAGTACATTCAACAAGGGGGCTTTGAAGGGCTTATATCTATTCATAAGGGAACACTGAACAGGCAAAAAGACCATCTGGTCTCCATAGCGATTGTGCAATGGTTAGGTAATCCTTTTAACAGAGTAGGTAGCGAGCAAGCTGCTGTCATGAACCTCAGAAGATAGACATTCAATTCGTCAAGGCTCAAGCTGCTGCTACCAGGGTCCATTGTACGTGTCTGATCCAATACACAGGTCACATAATGAGTGAATGAATAAATTTATCTCAGGGTACAATGTCTACAAAACAGTGTCTCAGTCTGTGAAGGAATCAGTCAGCAGTACAACAGAACAGTCAATAAATCCCATAGAAATAGCCCCAAGGGGCTTTTCTCTGCATTTTGGCTGTCCAGAAAGCTAAGGTAGGCTAAACATTCGCACACGCTGCAATAACCAATCGGGGCATCTGCGAGGCTGCACAAAGACCACTGCCCTGAAAATCAGCTGTGGTGACTTTCTCTTGCCTCACGCTCGTGTGGAGCGATTTTCTTTCTGCTGATTACAAAGAGGATGGGGTGGGGGTGAATAGCAGAGTGAATCAGCTGGTGCCCAAAGGCAGAGGGACACTGGGGCAGGCAGGCAGACATGGACAAGCTGTGGCTGTGCTCACTCAAATCACACACTTTACACTATTTGAACTGTGGAAGCACTGGAATTTACAGTGCAGGGGTCAGAGTTCAGCTTCCCCTCTATTTCTCATAGCAACCTACCATCACAGAAGAAAATGTGCTTTTCTCTCTTCCTATGCAGAGGGATGAATACTTCTTGTGAGTAAAACCAGTTTCTATGAATATTTTCTGCAATTATAATCAACATATTTAGAAAGCAGCCCACTGTGCCTGAAGATGACTATTAAGAGTTTATTTGCTTTCAATTATACCACATTCCCTAAAAAAGAAGTTCTTATTCTTCACCCTGATTCTCCTTGACACATTCAAAAAAAAAAAAAAAAAAAAAACCAGCTATGCAAACATACTAATCCAGGGTGATAAGTATGTTTCCCCATCACACCCAACAATTAGTGCAAATCATAACCCTAGAGCTAAAAATGCATTTCCCCACCTTTGGGCTTGTCCACATAAAGTTTACCTAGACTTTTTGGGCTCCAAAATACAAACACATGAGCTGAGGAGCCATTCTGGAGAAGCGCCTGCTCAAGCCATTCCCAACCCTAACTATTCTATGATTCTGTGATTACTACCACTGCAGCTAGACTACTCTACAAATGCTAGAGGGGAAAATGCCTTTCTTAAGATTAAGGTGAGTGCACATACAAGTAGTGCTCTACAATTGCACAGGTGCTTTCCTCCCTTAGCCTTAATCTCTCAAAATAAAGGTTTAGAAAGCTTGACTCGCTAACCGTTCTGCAAGCAAAACTGAACCTTAATAATGATATCCAAGTACTAGTCTTGCTTGTGAGATACAACAAGGAATTATTACGTTATGAGTTAGTGGGAGATCTGAGATGGGCTCCTGTGCTGGTCTCATCTGCTACAATGGGAACACAGACCAAAATGATTTTGCTACTGCCAGCCATCCGCTTCCTGTACAGTCACATTAGCCAGGCTGAGACTTTCTAAAACTACAGGACAGAAAATGGCAAGCTCCAGACTGACAGGAGGCGAGCACAGAGCCATGAGTAGACTGAATGCTCCACAGCCACAGTCAGCATTGGGCAGTAGCAAATACCAGTTACAAAAAGGCAAGAGACTC